TTCAATACCATATTTCCTAAGTTATGTTCCCTATTCAATACCATATTTCCTAAGTTATGTTCCCTATTCAATACCATATTTCCTAAGTTATGTTCCCTATTCAATACCATATTTCCTAAGTTATGTTCCCTATTCAATACCATATTTCCTAAGTTATGTTCCCTATTCAATACCATATTTCCTAAGTTATGTTCCCTATTCAATACCATATTTCCTGAGTTATGTTCCCTATTCAATACCATATTTCCTAAGTTATGTTCCCTATTCAATACCATATTTCCTAAGTTATGTTCCCTATTCAGTACCATATTTCCTAAGTTATGTTCCCTATTCAGTACCATGTTTCCTAAGTAATGTTCCCTATTCAGTACCATGTTTCCTAAGTTATGTTCCCTATTCAGTACCATGTTTCCTAAGTTATGTTCCCTATTCAGTACCATGTTTCCTAAGTTATGTTCCCTATTCAGTACCATGTTTCCTAAATTATGTTCCCTATTCAATATCATATTTCCTAAATTATGTTCCCTATTCAATACCATATTTCATTGTGTCTTATAGGAGAATTTTTTCCACATTAGGCAATGATTATGCTCTTACGGTTCCATTATTATTATTACGGGGGAAAATGTCTCGTTATACATTGTTTCGTTATAAGTTGCAACTTTCCAGTCCCTAACTTTGATGTATAACGAAGACCCCCTGTATATAATGCTGCCATGAAAAGAAATCAAAACACAAATTTAAACTGAACAACAAATGTATACTCAAACATATTCCTCTTTTTATGCAATTTTTCCCTTCATGCTTCTGTCTTTAAAATATTTATTTCAATCAGTCAATGGAGGAAGCCCTGTTCTCTTTGTTCTTAAGTTTTCTATCAGCAGATACAAAGACTGAACGATCAATGTTGATATGAAATTTTAGAAATTGAAAAATGAATAATTTTTCTCTAATGTACTCGCGTTTTTGATATATATTTTTTTTCTGCAGGAGATACAGAGTGTGAGAACAGACATTTGGCTATTATAGACATGTTAAAAACCTAATGATCGATATAAAACTGTGAGGATTAAGTTTGTTTGTAAGTGCAGATAAAATTTTATATTCTCAAGTGAATGCTTTAAGAAAAGGTAGTTACCTTTTTTTTTCTTTTTACAGAAAATTGAAGGTTACCAGTATGATTGTGATCTTTTGCCTCTCTTTGAACTTGGGAGTCTCCATCACGATTTTTATCTGATCAATCTTCGTCTTCCAGTTGCAGAAAGTAACAAGGAACCAATTAATGAGGGAATTGGTCAAATTGAAGATATTATTGTGGTGGTAAGTATTTCTACTGATTTCATCCAGGCATGTAGCAACTGTGTTGTTTTATTATTATTTCTTTCTTTTGTATTCTTTAACTGTTTTGTGACAGCATTGTTTTTTTTCATTGAAGAGTAAGATTTCTTTAATAACTTGTACAGTAGTTTTCCTACTGTTTTATTTTAATTTGCTCCAATTTGTTTTAGTTTGTTTTTTGTTAGAAACACCTTGGATCAAAATAAAAACTTCTTCATGTAGCTCCAAAGTAAAAAACCAATTTCTCTAATGTTTGTGACTTATCTCTAATATTAGATCATAATAAAAAAAGTTAGATGGGCTAGGGAATTTGAAATTTGTAGAATGACATTATCTGTATATATGAAAGTAGGTATTTAGATGTATGTAAAGGAGTTTGATTTAGTATCTATGTGATACAAAGAATAGTTACCCAAGCCTTTGAACATAAAAACAACTTGTTCATGTAGCTGATTTTACAGAAGTTACATTGTGATTGTTATTGAAGCCAAAGGAATTTTTTCATTTTATATAACAATAGGATAAAAAACGTTTTGCTAAAAGTGATATAGAAATTAAGTAAAAATTAGTGACTCTTTGAAATTTTTTATAGCATTTTATAATTTTATTAAAAAATATTGTAAGAGTATTCATGAAAATTATTATTTTTTAAAACCAAACTTTTAAAGATTGTTGCAGAAGCAAGATGTGCCTTGATTTTCTGTTTTGTTACTTACTTCTGATATCTATTCACGACTTTGTCTGTTTTTGTATCTGAATATTTAGTGTCTTTTTTGATATGCAATTGTTCTTACAAACCTCATCATCAAGCAACACCTCACATTCAGGAAACCTTTTCAGTTGTGATATATTTTATTATGATTTAACACTCCTTACCAGTATTTTACAAGTGGTGGAAAAATAACTGTACCCAATTCTACTTAATACAGAATCCATAAAATGTAGAAGAAGAATTAGTAAAAATTTAATGTGCCTTTGAACTCTGTTAAAGATGTCACAGGGTAGTTAATATACCATATTTCATCAACTTATAAAATGTTAAATATGTCACAGGGTAGTTAATATACTATATTTCATCAACTTATAAAATGTTAAAGATGTCACAGGGTAGTTAATATGCTATATTTCATCAGCTTATAAAATGTTAAAGATGTCACAGGGTAGTTAATATGCTATATTTCATCAGCTTATAAAATGTTAAAGATGTCACAGGGTAGTTAATATGCTATATTTCATCAACTTATAAAATGTTAAAGATGTCACAGGGTAGTTAATATGCTATATTTCATGAACTTATAAAATGTTAAAGATGTCACAGGGTAGTTAATATGCTATATTTCATCAACTTATAAAATGTTAAAGATGTCACAGGGTAGTTAATATACTATATTTCATCAACTTATAAAATGTTAAAGATGTCACAGGGTAGTTAATATGCTATATTTCATCAACTTATAAAATGTTAAAGATGTCACAGGGTAGTTAATATGCAATATTTTATCAACTTATAAAATGAATAGTTACACTACTCTTATTTTAGTATTTTTTATTTAAATTTATAAGAGTGTTACTATATTTTTCTTTTAAATCTGGAAATAAAATCCTTACATTGTCTTGTTATCATAGGTAATCAACCAAAATGGTGGTTTTACTAAAGTTTGGGTCTCTCTGAAAACTGTTTTCTTCCCAGTTATTATTGGTTTAATGATCTGGTTTTGGCACCGTATTTTGCTTTTACCTCGACCACCAGCACTTCTAGAGAAGTAAGTTAATTTCTCTGGTGGTTTATACACTTTTTCAAGACGTCTTTATTCCTCCCATATCAAACTGATAAACCTTTTAATAGTCCTTAACAGAAGTAGTAGATTTACTATTAAAAAGTAAAAACTTGTCATAGATTGAAACTGAATTACTTTAGTGGTTCACCTTAAAGGTGAAAATAAATTTAACATGATTCTAAGAACTTCATTCCAGTTTTCCTTTATATAAATTGAAATTTTTATTTTTATCTAAATGAACAGTTAGAGCTCGTTATTTACTTTACATCTTATCCCTATTGATTTTTAACAAAGTTTTGGTTTAATTAATTTTCATTGAGATGTAATTATAGGTATATATTGTTATGTAGTAACCTTTCGAAGCTAGATTTCATTATTTTTTGCTCTTTTTTTTTTGACAGGATGTTGCTGACCCTAGGAATAGCGCTATCTCTATTGAATTGTAGGTATAACAACAAAATATTGGAATATTTGAAAAATTAAATACTTTTAGTTATTAAAATACCATTAGTTGTAGAAAATAATAATGTGCCTATTTTTAATTTAACCTCTCTAATCATTAATGCTATACTTAATCAAAAGTTCATTGTTGTATGAATGGTAAGTTCATGAACTTACAATGCTAAAATTCCAGGGCTCAATTTCTCAGAGTGGACAGAACACAGATAACCTGTTTGTGCTAAAAAATACCAACACCAGTTGATTAAAAATGTTGAGTATTAATTTGTTAACTTTGGAAATAAATGTCCAAATGATTATTTTACAATTTGAAAAGATATTTGTCTGTAAAATGTTTTAAGTAATTATCTCTAAGAAAACATTTCATGTTGATGTTACAACCAATAAGCAAGATGTGTGTAATTATAGAACACCACGTACCTGTTTCTTTATTTAAAAATATACCTAGTGTACTGGGAGAGTTATTTACACATAAACATAACAAAGAAAAAGTTAAGGAAAAAGTTCAGTTGTAAAAAGAACTTGTATTTTAAGACAAAGTAGAAATGTAAATTGTGCATCTCGAGGAAGAGTGTAGAGTGAAAGTTCTTTTGTTACATAATGCAAGTATTACATGAAACAAATTTAAACTGTATTACTCAAATATTTTGGTTGGTGTAATCTGGTGAATCTCACAATGGAGCATTTTTTTAGGTTTCAGATTTACATGATCTAGTAAAACTTAAAATTTGCTTTTATGATTTAATAACTATAATTAAATATAAGATAATTAACTCTCTCTTTATTGGCAGGTCAAAGTGCACATGCCACAGCTTTTTAGAGACTTATTTTCAAAGTTTAATGAAACCACTTTATTATCATGGTATATGAATGAACTTGGCATCAAAATGTAGTTAATTAATCAAATTTTAATATTATATAAGTTTTAAGTTATTAATTTTATAAGGAATTAAAAACTCCTCAATCTACCCTAGTATGAAAATTGTGACATTTGCTCCCTAGATCTTCCCTAATCTCCAATTTATTTACCATCCTTCCAAGAATTAGGGAATTTTGCCTAAATTACTTTTCATTAGCAGAAGTAGCCGCCCTCTGGGCAGGTATAACTGATAGTTCCTGTGGAAGGCTATTGGGTCTGTGACCTTTTCTGGAATTGTCTGACAGTTCTACAACAGTGTACTTCAATAATGTTCACCATGCATGAGAAAAAGGATTTTATTGAAAGTTTAGTTTAAAGATGAG